CCCTATTGAAAAAATCATATTGAAAATTTTTATTTTAAAGGGGGGAATTTTCAAAGTTTTTACAATTTTCTTTACAGATCTTATTTTGGGCCCTTTCTTTGAAAAGTGTCAGAGTTAAATCGTATACATATACATGCACAGTGCGTTAACTGGAGTGCAGGTATTAGTTACCCGCACTCCAGAGCATGCCTATTGATTGGCTAATATTTGCTGGGGTTTACTTATTGTGACGGAAGAGAAAGGAAAAGCGATAGAAATGTCATTTTCAGATGCTCGTTCATTGGTTCCTTTTTTCTGGGGTTTCATATTGTGACAACAGGGAGCGTGATTTTATGTTTGACTATGATACAAAAGAGAAAGAACATCAAAACACTCGGCAATCTGATTAATACTCGCCCCCTCTTACAAATCAGATAGCCTCATGTTTTGATGCTCTTTCTATTACATATACACTATTGCACATGAATCACAGCTTTATGATATTTATCTAAGAAACTAATGGAATATATAACAACATTTATAATCTATGGTGTTATTGTACAACTTACAAATTCTTGTTCCTTGAACATAAAATGATCAGGGTTTTTGGCTTTCAAGTCTACAATAGTGGAACTACATTCTGGCCATACACTGTTCATAGCCCTGAAGTAGGTCAGTCTAGGTGCAAGTTTCTGGTAGGCAATATGCACAGTCACTAAACTATGTAGCAGGGAGTTCTCTGTTGTGTTGTTTGCCATTGCCATTTGAGTGGTCATATAGAATACTGTCTGACATACCAACTGTTTAAAAGACATAAATGTTACATATTATTTCTTATGTCTAAGTAATACCACAGCTAGTCTCAATTTGACTGTTATGTTTTGTGTTTAAGCCATATGTTGAGCAAGATATTTACTATGGATTGCTCCATTTCACCAGCTGTAAAGGAATTCCTAACAGAATGATGAAACACAATGGCATCATAAAATTGGCTTCCATAAGCAGAGAGAAAGAGTACCAAAGGAAATTGTCCATCATCAATGTTATGTATATCAAAAACAGCACAGATCTACACAGATCTATACTGGAGGCAAAGTCTCATCAATATGGTTGCAGAAGCTGAACCGGCCTACTGTACAAAATTGATTGATAAAAATATGTCTTCTATTGTTTATACACTGTATCTGTAAATGTCTTTCATTTTACATGTGTACGAGGGATGATCAAAAATTAACCGGACTTTGTAGATGATTCTTATCCTGGCAAATGCATTTACATAAAAATACACGAAACATTAATCGAAATCCATTCCCTAAATGATACAAAAATTACCAACAAGAAATATCAAAAAATAAAAAAGTTATGCTGTTATTGGCATGTACATGTAAAGCAACGCGGCGCACGGTATAACATTAAATTGACGTTAACGACGTCAAAAGCGTATTGTCTTTAACGAAGCGCTTTTTACTCATTAATGAAGTAGCCCAATACGTGTTCCGTATGTTGTTGATGGTGGCGGATCCACTGCCTATATATAATTCTGTACAAGTGGGTATCATATTGTATTGTAATAGAATGGGTGATGATAAAGAGCTCCTGAAATGACGCAAAACACCATTATTTCCTTCTGTAACTTCATTGCTGGACAAATCGCACATGCAATAAACTACACTAGATCTTATTTTTATGTAATGTTGCTGAATGATAATGTATCATACATACGAGAAAATAAAAGGATAATCAAACTTACAAAAAAATTGCCATTATTTTAGAAAAAATTAAACGCATAACCGATTTTAAAGCGTGACTGTTAAATTGTTGACACAATTTCTCCATATTTAGACTATTACGTAAAATAATAAAATAATTTATACAATTGTAAACCAAGAATATAATATATGTAATTAATGCATTAACAATTATCATTTTAAAATTCTTAGTAATAGTTGACTGCACCGTCCCGTAGCTACTGTCGAACATCGTTGACAATGTCCGCAGTCAGTCGGCTGCCATGTTTCAACGTCTCGGCGATTGACGTCACCAACGTCCTTGAAAATTTCTTCTTTTTGCTTCTCCCTTACTTGTTTTCCATTTCTATATTAAACTTTCTTAATCGTTTGTGCTAATCAAAAACTATGCTGTGGCTTCCAGGGACTTTTCCCTTTATAATCATTATCTTTTTCTACGTTTAAAACAGTTTCTCGCATTAATTTTGACAAACTTTTCTTATTGATCGATTTTCGAGACGTTCCGACGACATAGTTTTAACGCGAGTATTTCTTTAACAAGTGACGTTTGAATTGTGATTGCAAATATAGATATGGCTTAAATGTAGTCATTTTTTTCTGACAACGTCAACGATATGTTTCATGACGTTTTTGCGTATTTTGAAATCTAAATGTGCCATATTGTAAAATATACGCATCATAAAGTGCCTGATGCCAGCGCAAATTAACGCACTGCGCCGGGTGTGCGTTACCATGGTTTTTAAATTCGCTGTTATGTACAAGCTATTTGCGTTATCCGATTAGGTATAGCATCAGTTAATAGGTATTGTTTTCTGATAAAGTTTGATATATAACAATAAGTGATCGGTTGAAAATTCTTTAATTGGCAGTCAAAGTCCGGTTTATTTTTGATCATCCCTCGTATATGTCTTTCAGTTGATTTTTCTTTTGTTTCTTGTCAAACAGACAATATGAAGGTCATATATCAACTTTCAGGTTTTATTTTACAAAGAGGAGTTAAGATGTCTCACAATGCATTATATACAAACACAAATATGCTATTCTAATCAACTTAAACAAAATACAATAGTAAAAGCAAACTGCTAATAATTTACCTGTTGTTCATGTACTGATGCAGCTTTATACATGGTCTGGACAAAGTCATAGATATATTCTTGTACAGCTTCTGCTACATCATGTTCCTCTGTTATACAACTCAATACTTTACCCAGTGCATGCTCACTCAATACCTTCACTGAAGATTCTGTTTTTGAGCAGACTTCATCTACTTCTACAATAAAAAGATCTTGATGACTTAAAGGTCTTGATTCTTCATATGATATTATACCCACTTCAGAAACACCACTAACCAGTTAGTCACATAGGAACAAATGGTTGAAAGCCCATAAAATTGAGGGTTTTTTTTCCGCATAATTTCTGAAGCATGGAATTCCTGAACAACAGTTAAGAATCTAGAGCTAATGTTTCATATTCAAAAATATGTGATACTACCAAATTTGCAGTCTTATAAAAATTTCACATACAGAGAAATATCTAGTTGTAAGTTCAAATGACACTACCTAATCATATGTCCATTTAATACAGTATAAAGATGCATTTACACCTTAAGAATATCCCTGTCTTTTGACATACATTCATATCTTGCATAAGTTAAGTTGAATATGAAGTGCCAATGAAGAAACAATGTCTTCACACATTAATCACAAAGACAACATACATGTTTATCATTATGATTGGACAAATCACTCTGATATAAAATGTAGAAAGATATGTCTAGAAAATAAGTCTTATACAACCCTATACAGCTTCAACTTTTACAGATAGCATGAAAAAATTGGTAGAGCTTAAACATTTACAAACATTTGAAAAATAAAAAATGAAATTTCCTAATCAATAGATGAAATAGAGGAAACATTATAGTAATAATCACATAATCAAATTTTACTTATTCTGTAAGAACAGCTCTCTTCAAAATGTAAGTGAAAAAATCATGACTGTTTTACCTTCATGGTCATGTGACTCTGCCACTGGATGATGTAATTTCAAGATTTCATTAATCTGGTTTATAAGCAGCCAGGAAAATGGCATTCTTGCACTGAACATTTGACCTTCACATCCTGTTGTCATGACAACAACCTCTGGTAGGTCACTCTGTCTTTTTGGAGACTGCAAATCTGTGAACTGAAAACAAGAGTACAAATCTACTTTAACAGTAAGATTTTGACATTAATTAATGTTATATGAATATATAATTACTTTTAATAACAGAATTTTTCTGTATACTTATAACATAAACTAATGTAAGTCTCACAGAATATAAAATGTCTCATAATACTGACAAAATGTTCACAAATTTAAATTATTTATTTTTCTATAGTATACATGTATAAAAATACCATTGACAAATTTTCTTATAATTGCCTGATACCCTCAGTATGTAAATAGTCTGTCTTGTCTAAGCTATCTCCCATGTATCATTTAAGCAACCAACAAAACTGATAATATTAATGTGTCATCAAATAAGGTAAATGTTTGAGAGAAAGACATATACCTGTAGATTGATGGCATCCACAGTGTTCAAGTAAGTGAGCCATAGTTCTTGTTTCCACTTGAAATGTTCTTCTTGTAAAATTTTCATGTTATCATTGGTATCCAAATAAGCTATAATTCCAGCTAAGATTGGTGCTACTTTTGTCTCCAAAGTCTGTATACATGATCGCCTGCAACACAAATATTTCATTTAGTTTTCATATAAAAGCAGTCAATTTTATTTTTCTTTAAATATGACTATTTCATGTATATAAGCCAATAATTAATAAGACATCTAGACAACTTTATAATGATAAAGCTGGTAATTAAAATTATTCATGAAATTAAATATATACAGTATGTTGTTCACTAGACAATATTTCAAAACTCAATCAAAAGTACATATGTCAAGCAAAGTTTACAGGTTTAGATTCAATGTAAGTATACAAAAGAATCTGTATTTGGTATTAAAAATTTCAGTGATTGCACCAATACTGTAACTCTCATATAGCACACCTATTTAGCATTCCTCCCAAATAAGGTCCCCAATAACCGTGATAGGAACCACCAAACTTTCAAACACTTCTGTAAAATGTTTTTCAGCTTTGCAACTTTGCTTTATGGTAACAGATCAATAAAGAAATAAAGAAAATTATCATTTTCTGGTCACTATATCTAGTCTAGAACTACATACCTAAATGTTCCAGCTTTGTTGATGTTTTCAGAAGATGCAGCTTCATTTATCAGCCAATGCTGTGCCATGTGGGCAACATGTGTCTTTGATTCCTTTTCTTTCAGAAGCTTGGCTATGAGACAACATACTCCGTGTAGGAAAGATGCTTGACCTGCAAATGAGTAACATTATGATAAAACAAAATTAAAGATATATTTTACCCTGTTCTTAATAAAGAAACTAATAAAAGCTAAATATATCAGGTACTCAGGAGTTGCGTACATTTCAGCCAGTGCTAGAGTGGATATATACATACTGCATAAAAAAGTAAAAGCAATAGTTAAATCACTCCTGTTCATCATCTTGAGAAAAATCCTATTCAGTATTTGTTAAATATAGATTTGTATTGCCATAGTTAGATTTTTATTGCCATAGTTTCATGAATATTTTCTAAAAATAAAATAAAAAAGACAAATACAATGCAATACCTTCAACTTGTTCCTGGTGGAGCAATTTCAGAACCAGTCCGACCCTGTCTGTTTCTTTATTTGTATTTTCTACCTTATCCTTCACCATAGACAATGCTGCCTGTACACAGGATAATATCAATCCTTTAACATTCAGTCTATGTTGACCATATCCTTTATTAAAACCTTCACCTCCATGCTTATCTACACTTTTCAAATCTAAAAGTACATCATCTAATTGAAGTGGGGCATTTCCCATTCTATTTTCAAAGTCCAAGTCATTTGTGTACACAATGTTTTCATCCATTCCCTGTCTTGGTGAATCATTTCTACCTTCTGCACCAGTCCATTCCATTTCTTCTTCTGTCTGAGCACTGAAATTACATCTGAGAGTGAATTTACTACATAAACAGTACTCAAACAGTCACAGATCTAAGTGAAATCTGATGCATGGTCTTCTAAACAAGTGCTTTAGTAAGTAGAAGTGCTTGGAGAGATAAGATTGTTTTGTAAAGTATGAGTGGTTTGTTAAGTAAGAAAGGAGTGGTCTGTAAAGTATGAAAGGAGTGGTCTATGAAGAAGGAGTGATCAATAAAGTGGGAGTGGTCTGTAAAGTGGGAGTGGTCTGTAAAATAGGAGTGGTATAAGTAACTAGCATTTCTTGAAAAAGATATCAAAATGAGTGATGGTGCAATTTAATCATTTATCTTGTTAAGTGGAGGTTGCAGGATTAATAACAAGAACATGGACAAGAAATCGAGTGTTCTATATCAAAATCTAAACATTTTTATAAAATAGGGAAAACATTTGATATCAACTATTATGTTAACAACATCATACATTTCTCTAGGAACATCCTCATCAATTTCCATTGCAGAAGGTTCTTTAACATAATCTGTGAAGAGTTTAGATATAGATTTTCCTTGCATGTCTTGTAGTGTAGGCATGTTCATATCTTCTGGATACAGGTCATCTATATGTGCAGAGTGCCAAAGTCCACACTGAAAAACATTATTATGAGAGATACATGTATGATATCTGTTGCTACAAATGCATGACTGTCATAAAGATACTCACTGAGTAGAAAACAACACAAACAAATTGCATTAGAAATAAATTGACATCACACTCAATGGATTTTATTGTTCTTATATGCATTGTTAAAGTAACTTAAGATACCTGAAATCCTGTGAATGAGGCCCCTCGTGGGAGCTGTACAATAAATACAACATGGATGGGAGCTCTTAGTTCCTCACGCATCTTTTCAAATTCATCCATGACGCAGTAGCGAGCACACGCAATCAGATTGGCGTTCATGTCACCTGAGTCACACTGTATCACCATAAGACTTGGGTCTTTTCCTGTACCCTGAATGTGCTGTCTGTAATATCAAATGTCATTTCTAGTTACAATGTGAGTTTAAATAAAAACATGCTTACTGAATCTGTAACAAAATGTATCAAAAGGGATATGATTTATGTTACAGACATGAAGTTGTTTTACATTTACCATGATAAATATCTTTAAGAGACTGGTCAGGTTTTCAATCTAGACAAATCCATTCATCATTTTTAGGGAAAATTGCAAAATATGTACTGACTGAATAGCAAACAGTGCAGACCATGATCAATAGACCAAGTGAATAAAAGACACCAATCCAAGGATTTTAAATATCATCAAATTTGATGATCTATCCATGGTACATGACATTGTATATTATTATAAACATATTTCAATTTTTTAACAGACATAACAAGTATGAAGATATAATCCCCACTAATTGGATAGAAACATCCAAAAATGTAACTATAAATAGCAGTGCTAGAGAATCGTATCTCACATGGGCTTATCAACACACTCCACGTGCAACACGTTTTTGCATATTCGTACACATACATGATATTTACTACCCCTTTAACAACAATGTTAACTCATAACAGCCAAACATATTAGTCTTTTAGATTGTCCACAGAGTCAAAATAAATTGATAATTTAACTTTCACGTACTGACTCCAACTCCACTTAAGTTCTAATACCTCCATATTTATCTGTTACTAAAAATAACAGTAGAAAATATTTGAAAATGTTAAAAGCTTTTTATCAATTATGGGAATCAACTATCTAAGTCCCACCCAATTTATCTAGGTTGTAATGTGCATAAAAAGTAGTTAAATTCGAGTTTTTACTTAGTTTCTCATGTGTCCAATAAAGATAAATAATGACAGAAATAGATTCTAGAAGTTCCATCACCCTACCAGTATATGTACCTTAATCTAATTATTAATTTGTCGAAACTGAAAACTAAATTTTCATCAATTAAACTTACAGAATCCTGTTACTGAACTGTTGTTCAGTATCAAATGATGACAAAGTTTCTAGCAGGAGTATTTTGTCAACATCTATTCCAGTGGCTTTACTAATTTCTCCTTTGTGAACACCTGCCATCAGTTTGGAATGGGTTGTTATCTGTGAAATCAATTATAACATTGACTTTAGCTTGTAATTAATGTTAAATGAGTAATAACATATATGTATTATCTTTGTATGTACTTTATTGAAGTGATACTCATTTTTACTTCACCAAGACAACTCATAGGTTATCATTCAAATCATAAAGACCAATTAACTGTATTATAAAGGATTATTTAGGGAAGGCCATAGATTAAACTATTCAAATTATAAATAGAAATGATATACTCAATTCATTTAAGGCACATTAAGCCTTTGAAATGAGTGTGATTTTTCCTCTGAATAATGAGCAAACCTGTGTGTTAAAGTGTTTGAATAATGGCATATATAGCATATTACATTCTTGTTGTGTGAAAAAAACATAGTGGTCATGCAGTATTTTTTCTTCCATACAAAACACTATATCAGTTAGGTTTAACTGTTATGGTGGCTGATTTGTGCCATTCGTGTTTTCCCCCATGACCCCACCCCGCCAAGCGAAAAGTGGAAAATTAACAAGTTAAAATGGCGGGGCTGCGCAGCGAAAACAAGCTAATTAGTGAGGGCATGGAGCGAAGTTAAATAAATAAAACTTCGCCCCGCGGGGCCGCAGAGCGGGATTTAAGAATTAAAACAGCTGGGTCTCGGGACTAAAACACGCTAATAAGCAGGGTCACGGGGCGAAGTTTAATAAATAAAACTTCGCCCCGCGCCCCCGCTAATTAGCATTTTTTCGTCTCGCAACCCCGCCAAGTGAAAAGTCAATAATTAACATGTTAAATGGCGGGGGTGGGCAGCGAAAACATGCTAATTAGCGATGGGGGCGCGGACCGAGATTTAAGAAATAAAACGGCAGGGTCCCGGGACGAAAACACGATAATAAGCGGGGGTGCGGGGCGAAGATAAATCAATAAAAACTTTGACGCGGGCCCTCGCTTATTAGCCAAGCGGATAATCGACAATTCACAGGTTAAAATGGCGGGGAACTCCGAGCAAAACCACGCTAATTAGCGAGGGCGCTAATAAACGTGTTTTTGCTCCGTGCCCCCGCCGTTTTATTTCTTAAATCTCGCCCTGCACGGCGAAGTTTTATTTATTAAACTTCGCTCCGCGCCCTCGCTAATAAGCATGTTTTTGCTGCGCGCCCCCGCCATTTTAACTTGTTAATTTTTCGACTTTTCGCTTTGCGGGGTCCAAGGGGAAAACACGAATGGCACAAATCAGCCACTATAAACTGTACTTAAACAAATGGGACTTTTACTTACCTGTGAAAATAATTGCCTGCATTCCTGTTTAACTATTTTGACATTCAGATATTGTAGAAGGTTGTCATGTGATTGTTTGTTAAAGTACCATCCTTTCAACAACTCTTTCTCCCTGTTTGTCAAGCTACTGTGTTCCAGTCTGATCAGGGATTCAGGTGTAGCACACCACAGCAACACTGCCTTAGATTCTTGTAAAACCTTCAATTTGTTACATAACACATATTTTAAGATAAATCTATTTTACATCAAAGTTTACCTTTAATAAGTTGATATTTTTCAAACACAAAACAAAACAAGAGGGCCATGAAAGAGGGCCATGATGCCTCTGAGGTCGCTCACCTGTATATAGGCCCCTGGAGCGGGGCCAGTTTAAACCCCAGGGCTTTTATTTGAACAAACTTGAAAGACACCCATTAGAAGATGTTTCATGATGTTAAGTTTTTACGACACACATATAATGAAAAAAAATGATCTCTCTCCTGCTTTTCCCCCTCCCGGCAGGGCCAATTTTAACCCAAGGGCTTTCATTTGAACAAACTTGGTAGACACCCATAAGAAGATGTTACATCTTAAACATCTAAGCTCTAGCTCATTGGGTTTTTTAAAAGAAGATTTTTTAAATTTTTACTATACACATATAGTTAAAAACAATGACACCCCTGGGAAGGGGCCAATTTTGACCCTAGGGCTTTTATTTGAACAAACTTTGTAGACACTCACTAGAAGATGTTTCATGCTTAATATCTAAAGTCTAGCTATTTGGGTTTTTTTCAAAGAAGATTTTTTAAGTTTTTGCTATACACATATAAGGAAAATTAATGACCCCCAGGGCTTTTATTTGAACAAACTTGGTAGACACTCATTAGAAGATGTTTCATGCTAAACATCTAAGCTCTAGCTCTTTGGGTTCTTTGAAAGAAGATTTTTTAAGTTTTTACTATATGCATATAGAGAAAATCAATGACCCCCTGGGTCGGGGCCAATTTTGACCCCAGGGCTTTTATTTGAACAAACTTGTAAGACACCCATTAGAACATGTTTCATGCTAAATATCTTAGCTCTAGCTCTTTGAGTTCTTTTTTAAAGATTTTTTAAAGTTTTTACTATATGCATATAGGGAAAATCAATGCCCCCCTGGGGCGGGGCCAATTTTGACCCCAGGGCTTTTATTTGAACAAACTTGGTAGACACTCATTAGAAGATGTTTCATGCTAAATATCTAAGCTCTAGCTCTTTGGGTTCTTTAAAAGAAGATTTTTTAAGTTTTTACTATATGCATCTAGGGAAAATCAATGACCCCCTGGGGCGGGGCCAATTTTGACCCCAGGGCTTTTATTTGAACAAACTTAATAGACACCCATAAGAACATGTTTCATGCTTAATATCTTAGCTCTAGCTCTTTGAGTTCTTTTTTAAAGATTTTTTTAAGTTTTTATTATATGCATATAGGGAAAATCAATGACCCCCTGGGGCGGGGCCAATTTTGACCCCAGGGCTTTTATTTGAATAAACTTGGTAGACACTCATTAGAAGATGTTTCATGCTAAATATCTAAGGTCTAGCTATTTGGGTTCTTTAAAAGAAGATATTTTAAGTTTTTACTATATGCATATAGGGAAAATCAATGACCCCCTGGGGCGGGGCCAATTTTGACCCCAGGGCTTTTATTTGAACAAACTTGGTAGACACTCACTAGAAGATGTGTCATGCCAAATATCTAAGCTCTAGCTCTTAGGGGTTTTTAAAAGAAGATATCTAAAGATTTTTTGGTTGCCATGGCAACCAGAGTTCTGCATGGAATTAAATTCTTTGAACAATTTTTAAAGGTGACCACCAAAGGAACATTCCTGTGAAGTTTGGATGAAATTTGCTTAGTGGTTTATGAGGAGATGTCATTTAAAGTAAAAGTTTACGGACGGACGGACCGACGACGGACGGACCGACGACGGACAAAAAGTGATCACAAAAGCTCACCCTGTCACTTTGTGACAGGTGAGCTAAAAAAACACAACAAAGATACACATGTCTTCAAGTCTCTTCAAAAGCTACTAAAACTGTAAGATTTTTATATTTATTCAAATAAATTACATTTATATAAGAAACATCTACATGTATTTAATTTATAATTTCTTTTAACCATCAATGGCTATTTTTGCTAGATTCTTTATACATGTATATGTGTTGTGAAATGATCATGATTAGACTGTTTGACCATAGTGCTAGATTTGACTAGAAACATAATTAGTTATTAAAGTAATTAAAAGACATCATCTTATTGTACCTGTGTATCCCTGTCTGTCTCATTCTCTATCTCTGTATGTTTGTTCCAAACATCTAGAACAATGGCTGAACATGTATCGTCATGGTAACCAATAAAAACATCACCTACTTTTGTGGCTGTTGTTTTACCTCTGTAAATAAAACAAGAGCTGTCAGTAGGACAGCACTCTTGACTACTCTTAGTGCTTGGTAATAAAAGAGCCTTGATAATGTTAATTTTTAAGTTCAAAAAAAGGACTATTATGCTCTCAAAGAATACAGAAGTGTATAAAATTTCACCTTGTTTCAAAGCCAGATTTCATTGGAATATGAAAATATTTGAGGTGGTACCGAATCTTTATCATAAAAAGGGGCTTCTTCAGTCAAAATGCTTGAGTGTTACCTCCTCCTGTCTACAGGTTTGGGGCATGATGCTGTTTAAAGTTTCAAAGCCATATGTCAATGGACTTTGAAAATATTTGAGGTGGTACGCAAACTTTAATGTAAGTGATTACGCCGCTGCCGAAGCTTTGGTGACTAGGATAGCTCTACTTATTCTTATCGAATGGTCCAGCTAAAAATTATACCAGTGTTTATAAGTTTGTCAAAGTATGTTTATCAGATTCTATTTTTATGACCAAGAATCTCACATGCTCCAGGAATTAACAACACACATATAATAGTTGAGATGAGTTTAAATTATCACCTAGCAGAATGTCAGAAGTTTAGCTTAAAACAAGAGCTGTCAGTAGGATAGTGTGCTCCACTATTCTCAGTGTAATGTAGAATTTTCTAAGTTCAAAAAGGGCCAAAATTCTTTCAAAATTCTGATTCTGATATACATTTGTATAATGAAATAATCATAATTACTACTGTATATGTTTGTTTAATTAATACATCTTTAACTTCCACTTTACTTACCTATGTGCATAACCAACATTTCTCTGTTTTACAAACTCCTTTGCCCAGTTCTCCAACTTATCTACAACTTGTTGTTGTTCTGGTGACAACATTGTGTTGATGGTGAGGAAATGTTTCTCTAGACGATTGATTAGTGGTATAGGAAACTTCTTGTATACTGTCTGCTTCTCTGCTACCACTATCAGTCTAACATACAAGAATTTAGTTTAATTAAGTTACATTTACCATGCTATTGATATCATAAGAGTCTCATTACAATCGCCCAATAATAATAATTATTTGGTAAGTTTTTTTTCTTTCTTTAAAGTATGATTTGTTATATTTGGCAAAATAATATATGTTTACATTATGAAATTGTTGAAAAAAAAATGTTGATATTCATTGAACAGTCACTTAAATTATTAGTGTTAATTATGTATTGGCGATGGGTGAAGTAATGCGGTAATTTTGCGATGAGCATGTTACATGTATATTAGAACCTTGTTATAATGGGGTTGCAGTGTATCCATTTGATAATGAAACAACAAGCAAGGACACTACAAAGACTTTTTTGTATTATGCTCTTAGAGATGACAGAGCTGGGGATCAAACTAATGACCTTCTGCCTGCAGTGAAAACTCATTATATCAAATCACTCAGCTATCACAGCATTAGTTCACAAAATTTGAACTGTTATAACCAAAATCAATATGAACTTACCTTATTCTTATATTACCTGAAATTTTTGTGTACTGGACATTTGACTCTATGTGTTCCTAGTCCAAGATCAACGTATCTCTCTCCGCCAAAATATACATAATATTGATTGAGGGCGTCATATAAACTCTCATAGAGATTTTCTGAGTTCAGTAATATCACAGTTTTCCCTGTCTCCATACACACTTTGATCTTATTGATGTTTCGACATACCTATATACAAATAAAACAAAAAATATCAATCCAAATTTATGAATCAAAGAGTTACAAACAGATGATTCAGGTCTTATCTAAAACTGAATTAAGTATTATTTTCGCCCTACTACATATGTAGGGGGTGGGGGGATATAAAGTTTTCCTCGTCTGTCTGTTCAGGTCCATCTGTAGACTGACAAAACACTGAAATGTAAGGGGGGGGCACCTGTGTCCATAAAATCTGTGTCCTATGATCATATTTATAGTTTTATATGTTTCTCAGTTACATTATAAGGTATGAGAGGAAAAAGAATTTGAAGTAGCTTATTAAATATTTCTCTTTATATTTAATTTCAGCCAAAATAAATTTTGAGTGAAATCTGTATAATGTTATCAGAAGAAACATTTTGTGAAAAATTCTTTATATTAAGGTAGAAAAACTTTAATACACATGATATCCAGATTGTTGAGCAGCAAACTCTTGATTGAAGCATCAATCAACTTTAAATTACACATGACTGATATAAAACATAAAATAAAACAAATCTTTAAAACAGTATTCTGACCTGTGTATATTCCTGGTCACTTCTAAAGCTACTACCAAATATGGTAATCGGTCTGATATCACCTCTCCTAGACAGAATCTGTTGTTGTATGATTGTTAATGTACCATAATTCTCTGTTAACAGTAGCAGGTATCTACTCTCACTGTATAAATATGAAATATTCACAATGATTTATAAGGTATATATATCAAAATAAATTACACTGTTTGTTTGGTTGGTTTTACGGTACACCAACACAATTTAGGTCTTATAGTGCCAAACAGGAAAACCATTTTGGCTAAATTAAGGTGTTACAAACTTAAAGCAACATCAGGGTTCAAAACCACCTCACCGATTTGAAATAAGAGATGCATAGACTCCAGAAATTTGAACCCATTAAGTTGCTTCTTACTTTCACCCAGGGATAAACAGTGGCTGCAATTCTGAAAGGCAATCCGTCAGCCACAAAGGGAAAATATTTTTACAAAGACAACTTCAATAAAATTACATATACAGAATAATTCAAAACAACTTTAAAATGAACAAAATCTTTTTTTTTTTCAAAATAATTCAGTTAAAGGTAAACTATCCAAAAAGAAATCTGTTACAACTACTGCTGCCAGGTCTAATTCTATTTAACACCTTAACCTCTCCCAACAACCCCAATCAAAAATATAAAACAAGAGCCGGTTGATGCCGGTTGATGCTCCCCGATTAGGTTTTGGACACAGGAAGGTATACCTCTTGTTGTGTCAGAGTTATGCCACAGACAAAGTTCAAAGTGTAAAAACAACCCAAATATTGTGCACAACACATTGTCTCAATATTGTGATCATTTTTGTGAAATAGTTGTAAAATCCGACTTCAAATAACGAAGTAATGCGCCGGACATAATTTTGCTGCAAGGTCATGACATGACCTTGACCTTCAAGGTAGGGACCCAAATGTTGCATGCGGCATGTCGATTCAATATGGTCATCATCTCTGTGAAATAGTTGTTAAATCTGACTTCCAGTAACAAAGTTATGGGCCGGACACGCTTTTTGCTGCAAGGTAATGCTGTGACCTTGACCTTCAAGGTGGAGACCCAAATGTTCCAGACCCTGCGTCTCAATATGGTGATCATTTCTGTGAAATATTTTTAAATATCCTTTAGGGACGGACCGATTTACTAATGTTATTTGAACTTGTGGTCCAACCCTTTTTCTTTCAAAATGTATTTATATATTTTTCTTTCTATATATTTGCAGTGTACATATTGTAAAAATTGAAAGGAATAAAATATGTTTAAACTAAATATTTTTAAAATCCGACTTCAACTAACAAAGTTATGGACCAGACACGATTTTGCTGCAAGGTCATGCTGTGACCTTGACCTTCAAGGTAGCGACCCAAATGTTGCGCGCGACACATCGTCTCAATATGGTGATCATTTCTGTGAAAAAGTTTTAAAATCCGACTTCAAATAACAAAGTAATGGGCCGGACACGATTTTGCTGCAAGGTCATGCTGTGACCTTGACCTTCAAGGTAGCTACCCAAATGTTGCGCCTGACATATCGTCTCAACATGGTGATCATTTCTGTGAAATATTTTTAAAATCCGACTTCAAATAACGAAGTTATGGACCGGACACGATTTTGCTGCAAGGTCATGCTGTGACCTTGACCTTCAAGGAAGCAACCCAGATGTTGCACGCGACACATCGTCTCAATATGGTGATCATTTCTGTGAAATATTTTTAAAATCTAACTTCAAATAACACAGTAATGGACCGGACACACTTTTGCTGCAAGGTCATGCTGTGACCTTGACCTACAAGATAGCAACCCAATGTTGCGCGCGAGACATCGTCTTAATATGGTGATCATTTCTGTGAAATATTTTAAAATCTGACTTCAAATAACAAAGTAATGGGCCGGACACGATTTTGCTGCAAGGTCATGCTGTGACCTTGACCTTCAAGGTAGTGACCCAAATGTTTCGCGCGCGACACATTCGTCTCAATATTGTGATCATTTCTGTGAAATTATTTTTAAAATCCGACTTCAAAATAATGAAGTTATGGACCAGACACACTTTTGCTGCAAGGTCATGCTGTGACCTTGACCTTCAAGGTAGCAACCCAAATGTTGCGCGCGACACATCGTCTCAATATGGTGATCATTTCTGTAAAATAGTTTTAAAATCTGACTTCAAATAACAAAGTAATGGCCGGACACGATTTTGCTGCAAGGTCATGCTGTGACCTTGACCTTCAAGGTAGCGACCCAAATGTTGCGCGTGACACATCGTCTCAATATGGTGATCATTTCTGTGAAATATTTTTAAAATCCGACTTCAAAAATAATGAAGTTATGGACCGACACGAGATTTCGCTGCAAGTCATGCTGTGACCTTGACCTTCAAGGTAGACAACCCAAATGTTGCGCGCGACACATCGTCTCAATATGGTGATCATTTCTGTGAAATATTTTTAAAATCCGACTTTAAATAATGAAGGTATGGACCGGACACGATTTTGCTGCAAGGTCATGCTGTGACCTTGACCTTCAAGGTAGCGACCCAAATGTTGCGGGCGACACGTTTGTCACAATATGGTGATCATTTCTGTGATATAGTTTTAAAATCCGACTTCAAATAATGAAGGTATGGACCGGACACGATTTTGCTGCAAGGTCATGCTGTGACCTTGACCTTCAAGGTAGCGACCCAAATGTTGCGCGCTGACACATCGTCTCAATATGGTTGATCATTTCTGTGAAATATTTTTAAAAATCCGACTTTCAAATAATGAAGGTATGGATGGACACGATTTTGCTGCAAGGTCATGCTGTTTGAACTTGACCTTCAAGGTAAGCGCCCAAATTTGCGCGTGACACTCGTCTAAATATGGTATCATTTCTGTGATATAGTTTTTAAAATCCGACTTCAATAACAAAGTATGGGCCGGACACGAATTTGTCCGGCCGAATGGAAAAAGGGGCCATTTCTTTTTGTTATTTTCTTTTGTTTGAATAGAGGCCAATGGCCCCTTACTCTATTGTTCGGAATGAACTTTTTCTCTTTTTTCTGTTTTAAGTTAATGGCCCTAATCCTATTTGGGTAGTGCGGGCAGACTGCTGACGGAGGACGGACAACCCGACGACTATATGCTCCCCCAAAAATTTTCGGGGAGCAAAAAAAATATAAAAAAAAAATTATATCCTTTTACCTTTCATTTTGTTTGTATCAAAAGAGTAAGGCTTGCTAAGACCAGAGGGGTACAGTCGGGATCAGTGCGCTTTGGCTGTAGGCAAAATTAACATTTAATATACCAGTAGTACATATGAATAACATCAGTATTACATATGAATATATCAACATATATTTTAACATCATATGTCATTTTGAAAGGTCATCAGAATTCTAATAAATTTTTGATCATCAAAATATTATGTATAATACCAAACAATTTGTTTACCTTTTGGTCAAAAGTGACAAAAGAGGTTAAATTCTTCTTAAAGCTTTCTACTGGATTAACTTGATCCAGTCCACCAAAGTTCCTCTTGATAGCATGTAACAGCTCGTGCCATGTTGGTTTCCTTTTAGACTTCTCCACAAACCCATACACCATCTTCACTAAACTGATAACAAGAAGAAAACTCTTAGCATGAAATTATATCTGATATATTCTGAAGCAATAAAATCAATAATCAATAACCAATAATCCACTGATATCACTCTCTGGCTACACTGTATGATTAGTGAGATTTGATGCCTTTTTTTTTTAAACCATATTTTTTTCTCTTCTGCAGACAACATTCCTTCTTAATTTGAATTTACAATGCTTAAAGCAAAGACTGGACATATGAATCCTGTACCTTAGGGCCATTTTATTTCACAATAGCTCAAATAGAAATAATGACTGTGAAATTGTAAAAAGGAAATTCATGTTACAGATCAATGAGATGGTGACTTTTACATAACTTCAACATTTATACTAGTTACCAGCATGATTTACATGTATATAACACACCATGTATACTATTAAAGCAAAAACATTTAACTTAAACCAGAACACTACTGAGATGATGTGAAAAGAGATATGTTTAACTACCTAATTATTGTAGCAACTTACCTGTAAAAGTCTCGGAGTCCATAAAACTCTCTCATGCTCTGTGAAGCTTTCTGGAAAATTTCTAAATATGAGATAGCCATGGGTTCTATAAACAGGTTGATTAGGTCATCAAGTTTATCACTGGTACTGCATATTCCACTAAAATCAACAGAAATACATATATCTAAACAAGGGTGCCATAGTCACAAAATACGCCCGTTTACGAAAAAGCTTTAGATGGAGATGGGGGCATTATGGATAAGTGTTATCTAGCAAGCAAGTTTTTATTCTTGGCACTGTGTTGTTAAATGAACCTTAAAACAAATCAATAGGGAAGATATGCACAGAATGTGTGACCTTGACCTTGGTCGCAGGGACCTGAATTTTATGCACGGCACTCAGCCTCACAATGATGAACATTTGTGCCAAATTATATTGAAATCCCTCTATGCATGTAGAAGTTTTGCTCCAGACAAGTGTTTTTCTATGAGCTCTAACTGTGACCTTCACCTTTGACCTAGAGACTTGGTTTATGTGCAGGGCACTACGTCTCATGGTGGTGAACAATTCTATAAAAGTAACATTAAAATTCCTCCATGCATGTAGAAAATATGCTCCGGACAACATCTGGATATTTAATCATCTCCAGTGACCTTGACCTTGCAAATATTAACCTAAATTAAATGTGTAACACCTGTAGTCATGATAGTTACCATTTGTGCTACAATCCATCAATAAATGATGACTAAATGGTCCCTATAACCATCTTCAAATTTTTATCTGAACTTTGACCTCTATGTGTAACCTTGACTTTGGTCGCAGGGATCTGAATTTTGCATGCGACACTCAGCCTCACAATGGTGAACATTTGTGCCAAGTTATATTGAAAACCCCCTATGAATGTAGAAGTTTTGCTCCGGACAAGCGTTTTTCAATGAGCTCTAAGTGTGACCTTGACCTTTGACCTGGAGACCTGGATCATGCATGGAGCAATACATATCATGGTGGTGAACATTTCCATAAAGTATTATAAAAATTCTTCCATACATGTAGGAGATATGCTCCAGACAAAATCTGGATATTTCACCATCTTTAGTGACCTTGACCTTGCATATATTGACCTAAAGTACATGTGTCACATCGGTAGTCTTGATAATGATCATTTGTGTTACAATCCCTCAACAAATGATGATTAAATCGTCCCTATACACATCTTCATACTTTTATCTTTTTTTAAACGGGCGTATAAAAAGTACATGTAATTTAATAACTAAAAAATTCTGATTTAAGATTTTATTCTAGGGAAATACATTTCATTACAATTCTTAATCTTTGAATGAGCCGAACTGATATTTACTTGAAAATTAAAATATAATTAAATTTCTATGAGAAAGTATTTACATTTGATAAGGTAATTACTGTATGATCTTTTATGAACAAATACCAAGTCTACAGAACACCATAGTTATCACAGTTAAGAATCTTGACCAATGATGAAAACATGTGTAAATAAATGTTACATTCTTTAGAACATACTCAAGTCCAAGAAAGAGGATTATTTCATGCCCTTTGATTAAATTCTATTTTTAGAATTAAAAGTGAAAATAGATCAAGGGGAGTAATTGTGTAAGTCATTTATGAACAAAGTAATAACTTTGTTGTTTCCCTTTGATTAAATTCTATTTACAAAATCTGGATATTTCATCATCTTTATTGACCTTGACCTTGTATATATTGACCTAAATTATATGTATCACAGCCATAGTCTTGATAATGACCATTTGTGTTACAATCCCTCAATAAATGATGACTAAATGGTCCATATACACATCTTCATATTTTTATCTGAACTTTGACCTCTATGTGTGACCTTGACCTTGGCCGCAAGGACCTGAATCTTGCACGCGACACTCCGCCTCACAATGGTGAACATTTGTGCCAAGTAATATTGAAATCCCTCTATACATGTGGAAGTTTTGCTCCGGACAAGCATTTTTCAATGAGCTCTAAGTGTGACCTTGACCTTTGACCTAGAGACCTGGTTCATGTGCGCGACACTGCTCCTCATAGTGGTGAACATTTATATGAAGTTTCATTAAAATCCCTCCATACATGTAGGAGATATGCTCCGGACAAAATTGGACGCCGCCCGCCCGACCGCCCGCCAGGGGCGTTCCCATAATACGTCCCGTTTTTCAAACGGGCGTATAATATCATACATGAACCTAACATTAATATGTTCCTTCTTTACATATGTGCCAGCATGTCTAAATAATATAACTTACAGGATGATGTCATCATATGCTTAGCTATTTTTATTTTTAACAGATCATATTATTTTAATGCTGAATATATTTCTGTTCATGAAGAAGTATCATATGTTGTATAATATAACAAACTAGAACTGCCACTGTCATGGTGTGAATACCCCCGCATACCACTTTGTAAGAATCAACAGCGGCCATTTAGAGCTCAAGGACAACCTCCCTGCCAAATCTGAGGTTACTAAGCCATAGCATTGCTAAGTTATGTATTCTACATGCTTCAAATGTGAAAATGTCAAAATCAATACACAGAGGACAGGCATTCTTAAGCAATTGAGGGGAAAGCTTTTTTTAAGTCAAGGTCCCTGTGACCTTGACCTTTGACCCAGTGACCTAAAAATCAATAGGGGTCACATGG